CTCTTAAATGTCTGGTTCCTTCCACTTCCACCATTTCTACCCTTATACTTTTAATAGCACTCCTGTGTTGGTCAAAATACACCAAATGTAGAGGCAATTTCACTATTCCAGTTTTGCAAGTCATTTGAACTTGACAATAAATTGTACTGGATAAGGTGAAGGGTTAGACACAACTTCAGACAAGCTGCCTGATATAAACAGACCTGCTTTGGAGCTAGTACTGAACTTTCTAATGGGCGATTTCAGTAGAGGATCTGCAGTGATTTTGCTAAGTTTTCCAAGTTAATATCTAAAATTAAGCAGCCATCACCTCAGAAGAGAAACCCTTTTGTTTCAAAATTATCAGTAACATAGACAAGTTCAACATATAAAATAATGGATTTTGTGTCTACATGCTTTTTATCACATCACAGTAAATCTGGATCCCCCATTTTTTTTTAATGTTACCTATATTGCCTCTCACATACTTTCAGCTTGGTCTTAAGCAGGAAATAGAAAGGGATATAAATTTACCTGGGAACGGGTAAGCACTTAAAATTGATCAGCAAAGACGGATCAAACCAAATGTACATAATGAGAGAAACAACAAAAAGAGAGTAATGTACTTCTTTATTGCATACACTGTGTGTATGCGTATACACGTCTTTGGGTATTTACATACTCTATAGCTTGCAGTGTGAATATGTTCTTTAAAAAGAATACAAAAGACATTGTGTTGTAAACTTTAAAGAATATTTAATAACTTTTAAAAAATAAAATGTATATTTTAAATTTTGTTCTTTATATGAATGCAGAAAAATGTATAATTGTTGCCATGACAAAATCCAAGGAACAGAGGAGACCTGTCCACTGTGATACGATACAGGTGACAATCTAAGAGAATTCAGAAAGGAGCTCCAAACCAAATCTCCCATGGCAAGTTCTGACTTGTTTTCTTACTGTGAATTGCCTAAAGCAGTATCTATGAAGGTCATTTACACTTAGCATGAATCTTTGTGGAAAAAAATAATGATCTGGTTTTAAATTAAATGCCACACTTTCTCTCTCTCCCTCTTTTTTTTTTTTTTTTCCTGCTGCTTACCTTTGGTGCCACACTTGCAGCACAACAATGAAGCTATGAGGTATGTGAATGGCTTTTAACTTTCTCCATACTGACAACCTCCTGCCCTATCTATGAAAGGGTGAGGAGACAGCTTGGAGCCACATGCACTGAGAAATGTAACCAAACAATTTTTAATTAGCTTGTGAGAAGTGAAGGGTGGGATGGATTTGCATAGCAGCCATATTGCTGATGCTAGATAAAATTAGTTATAGCTTCTGTGCAGTTCCTTCCTCTCCGTGTATAAATCGTACAGTGCTGTGCTTAATGGTAACCATTAAATAGAAGAAAAAACCTTTAGAAGGTTGGATTTGAGCGGAAGGAGTAAATAAGAATTTACAGAAGAAAAAAGGGAGTGAAATTCATTGTGTGCCAGAAGATGTAGAACTAAATAATTCTATCAAACAAACAATAAGATTTGGCTGCTGACAGTTACTGTACAAGAAAATAAAACACATTCTGTTATATATATTTATATATATTCTTATAGTTGTGGAGATGGAAAGAGAGAAGAGCCAAAAACATATCAGAACTGAACCTAAAAGCCAAATTCTGCTCTTGCTGCATTCAGCAGGTTCAGTCAATGCCCTGTTCCTTCGCACCTTGTAATTAAGCAGAAAGCACAGTGAGTATAGATGAGGAGTGCTTGCCTTCAGTCTCTGACCTTGTTGCTTTTGAGTCTGTCTTCAATGTAAATGCATTGAGTCCTCTTTCATGTTCAAAAATAAAACAGGAAAATGATATAAAAGACCTTATTAAAAGTGACAAAAGGCTAACGTAAGCATTTGGAATGACTTCTGTGGTGTTCTGCCTACCTCTGATACAAACAGCCTCATAAAAGGATGCCTAATATACTACAGGGTATTTATAATCAAACAGTTCACTCTAAAGTTTACTTTTTCTTTAATGTTACTGTGACAGACATCACAAAATATTCAGACTTTGCTGATGGAGAAAGTCTGCAGCTCTTTTTTTTTTTTTAAGCAAAATAGGATAAATCTGAGGCTTGTTTGTTTATTGTTGTATGTAGTATGGTCAAAGTTTCAAACTGGATTGTGTTGGTAATGCTTTAAGCACCATATCATCTGTTTGGTGGACTATGTGAAAAGAGTTAATAACATGAAATATAAAAAATAGTCCAGTTCAGACTATCAGTAAGTTGCACTAACATCTCTGGCAGTGTAAGAGTAGTGTTTATACAATGCAAGGGGGAGTTTGGTGTTTCGGTTCTTCTCCCCACTTACTGCTGAAGTTGCTGTTGCAGTGGCTGGAATTTACAAATAGAGTATTGCTCATACTGCCTCTATCTTCTCTTTGAAAACCAAGGCAGATTATCTTGTAAAGATGCCTAAACCATGGCAAATGATTAGAGGGAACCAGAAAAGACAACTTCTCTACAGTCTTTGTACTGTTTCTCATTTTGTTTCTTCTGTAGGGCTTTAGTCTATCACGTTCTCTAAGAGCTTTGCATGAGTTAAGAAACTCACAGGATGAGGGTTGTGGCCTCTCATCTCCCTGCAGCAGCAGCAGGGAAGCTGATGAGAGGTGCCCTGTGTGGGAGCTGCTCTATTGCACAACCGTTTGCTCTTATCAACTGTGCCATTAGGCCTGCTTTTAATGTTAATTTTTAATGGCAAGGATCACTACAAATAGCCCTGTCTATCTTTTATCTTTCTTCAAAAAAATCCATGCTTTATTAATGTGCTCATCACTCTGTAATGCTGCTTTTCAGTGGTGGAAACCCCAAGCTGTCAGCAGGAGCACCTGTGAGTACAACTATTATAATAAACCATGGCAAGAACAGTGCATCTAACTTGGAATTGTTTCTATGCAGGTAAGAAGAGAAAAGAGGGAGAAAGAGGAGGGAGGAAGAAACAAACTTACAGCACCTCCCCAGCTCTCAGAGAACAAGCCTGTCTTCAGGTCTCTCAGCTCAGGAAGTGGAGCAGGAAATCTTGGTGATTGCAATATCAAGAGTAAGTCACTCTCTCAAGGCAGAGATGTCCTATGTACTCTTGGGCTAGTCGCTCTGTTAAACCTCTGTCTTGGGTCAAGTTCTGTTAACATATGTGGCTCATTGGTATAGCAATAAAATCCGTTCCTGGTTGATGAGGTTGCTATGGTAATAAGTGAGCGTGAAGCCAAATAAAATGCACACAAGTAACTCAACCAGTTACTTTCAACTTAGCCTGCACAAATAAGAGTCTGCAGAGGTTGTTGTGAAAAGGGAGGCATAGGACTCTGAAAGGTACTTTGAGTTTCACAGGGCAGTCCATCTTAAGCATATCTTCACAAACCATGGGGTAGTTTGGGCTTGAGGGTGAAAAGACTGCAGGCAATCAGTGAGGGGATCAGGGGGGAAGGCAATGAGAGCTGTATTTGTCCAATGGTGCAGGTCTAGAAGAGGATTGGGCGACTACTGTATAGCTTATGGGTTGGAAGAGTCCAGCTTTCCTGTTGGAAATTGCTTTTATATCAAGGTACTCAAAGCATCACTTGTAGCTGACACCGTCTGTTTTGAGCACTAAAGAGTGCAGGTAACGTGTGCCTGAACTTGATGCCTGTGTCCAGCCTGTTGTTGTAGGACTGGCAGCCTGGGCACGTGGGCTGCATAGCTATTCCCCTGGCAGGGGCTGAGAGGCTCCCTGACAAGCTGGCTGCAGGGAGCAGGACAGGTGAATTGCTCTGATAGCCTCTTCCCTGCTCTCTGCTTTCCCTGGGATGCTTCTTCCACTCCTTACCACACATGTGTATGTGGTTGCCTGGGGCTGCTTCCTGCTGGGAGATTCTTTGCAATTTGCCTGAATGATGAGAAGCATCTGATTCTTAACCTCATTGCCATGGTTCCTGCAGAAGGGTGGTAACTAAAATTACTTCAATTAATAGCTGTTAACTGGCTGTTTCTGGCATAGAAAAGTTAAAACTTTGATTTCTACAAATTCTGCAACATGTGGGAGATTCTAGCTGTTTAAGCCAGAAGGATGGAGATGGGTATGACAGGTTGAACTGAGAGGTGACTCTGCTTCCAACGAAGACCGATGTGCCTTGGCTGTCGTAAGGAAGCAGCTGAAAAAAAATCAGAGTATAAAAACATCTGAAGTCTTAATAACTCTAGGAAAGATGAGCAATGTGCAAAAGATTTATCCTCAGCAAGACAAATTCTGTCATACCTGCAGATGATAGTATCCTGGACTAAATTAATGAAATGGTGACATTCAGGGAAGGAACAGCTGACAGCTTTGTATGGATCGTCAAGTGTTGAAATGAATGATACTTTTTGGCAGACTAACTTGAAACAGGAATGAAAAAAAATAGTAGAATGACAGAGAGCCCACTCACAAGTTGTTTACTGAAATGAAGATACACTGAAGGTAATTACTTGTTTCCCAGAGGTATAGGTGATAGTATCTCCTACCAGAAATAATATTCAGTTATTTCAGTTGGAATGTAAAATGGGATAGAAAGGTTTCCTCTTTCTGAGGTCAGATGCTGGGTCTTTCACCTTCTCTCAGAACAGCAGGTGCATATGAATATATTACATACACAGCCATCAATCTGCAATGCCACTGGCAATTAGTAAGTGAGACAATGTCCAATATTATTTTCCCTTGCCAGCCAGATCTCACTGCACAGATGCTGATTAAAAGCCTGACTTTGCAGCAGTGAGATTAACATATTTCTGGAGATGATCCTCTCCTGGCTACAAAATCATCTTGAGACACTTGGAGGCACGGCAGCTTGCTCTTGACATTCTGCCTGTGCGTGAGCTGGAGTAATGTTGCAATTGTATTCAGTGCTAGCTACTCTGCACCTTCTTTGAATGCTGAAGAACACTCATTTTCTACACTCTCTCTTCCAGACTGTGATATGCTAGAAAGCAACCTGGCAGCTTTCAGCAGCTTTCACGGAGGTTTCCTCCATGCAATCTTTTCCTAACATCAGTTTGCGAATCAGACTCCTGTAAGCAGCCTCCTTCGTCTTGCCACAGGCTATTGAAAAGGAACCATCGCTCTGTGGAGGTTTTCTTCTGTTTAAAGACAAGGCTGCTTCTTACCTTTGCCAGTTCAAGTACTGAGTTTGTCTTTTCCTCCTCTTTCAGGAAAGTGGGGTGATTCACAAAATCTTCAGAAAGATAGCATTATACACAGTTTATATTACAAACAGGGGTTAAAAGGTCAGATGAATGAGCATGAAGGAGATTTCTCCTGTGTCCTTTGGAGGAGAAGCACAGAGATTGGGAATGGTATCTATGCACAGTAGGTGTCTGCCTTGACTACCTGACAATACATGGTCATTGCAAAGGTGAGTCCGAGAATCTAAGAGAAAAAACAAACAACCATTTTTCAGTAAGTCAAAAGAAAACTATTTATTGAAAAAAAGAAAAAGTATGCTTACACTGTTTTTGTTTGTTCCCATTCACACACAAGAAGACACATCACATACTGCTTTCCCACTGACCCATGTCCTTGTTCTGTTCCTGGTTTCTGTCTGCCTTTTATCTTTATCTGTACTGCTCTTTTATAGAATGAACAATGAGAGCACAGGAGAGTTGATTTCTCCATGAAAAGCAGCCACAAGATACTGGGAAGAGGTATATTGAAAAGAAATACTCAGATGCATTTTGCTAAAAAAAAAAATACTTTATAGTAGCAACCCCCTCAACTTGTAGAGCTGTGGTTATCTCTATAACTATTGCTTTGAACAACTATTATTTCCATCCTTAGACCAAATCTTTATTTTTCCAAGCACGTGTGTGCAGTGATCACTGCAGGAGGGATCACTGGTGACTGTCCATGCATTAATCGTAATCGTCAATGCCACACCAACAAGGCAGGTGTCTCACTGCTCAGTCTTTTCACAAGAGGCTGTGGGCAGGGAAGGATCCTTCTGCCAGCCCAACTACTGACCTGCCACGTTGCCCTTGGCAGGGGGAGCGTGCTACTTGCCTTCCTTTGGGAGTATATTTACATTAATATACTGGTTTATTTTCCTATTCCTTAGCAACACAAATGTAATAATTTTCAGCAAGATAGGGTTTGCCAGATAGAATTCATACAAAAAAATGCCTGTTTGAAGAACTTGACCACATAAAATTCACTATCTACACAAATGGCAGTTCCCAGGAAGAGGACATGAGTAATAGCATACTACTATTTTATAAGCAAAAATGAAAAAGGGTCAGGTTAAACAGATACAATTCCTTCACTTACCTTTCCTTCAGAGTGAAATAAGACTGTTTGGCTTTAGTTTGCTGTTTTACGTAAGCAAACATATTTGGAAGCAGTTCCTAGAACCATTAATTCCTAACAAAGCTCTTCAAAGTCAGAGGCATAACAAAACCCTGGCAACTGAGTGTATTTTACAATCTTTAGCATGCATGACAAAAAAAAAAATCTTCTGCCACATGTGCTGTATGTCCTTCAAGTTATGTCACTGTATGATTCTAACCATAATATCATTACCCTGAAAAACAAAAGCTGTTGTATTGCTGGGGCCAGATCAGCACCCTAACAGCAGCAAAGGAGGGAGCCCAATTCGAGGTGGCAGCAGATCAAGTGTTTCATCATCAATTAGAATCAGTCACGTAGTGCAGCTGAAGACAGACTCTGGCAAAAGTCTCTTGTGTTCTGAGGCATTTTCTGTGTTTCATAGCAATTTACTAGAAATATTAATTCACATTTTCAAAGTGTCTGAAATATTTTCTCCCAGGGAAGCGAGTAATTTCTGTTTGTCACAGGGCTATCATTTGCTCTTAAAAACCCTGAATAGAAAATCACAGTCTACAGGAAGACCTCCGGCATGGTCTGCTGGGCTTAAAATGTATCTTTTAAAGACTCCCTGAGTGCTGCATGGATGCTCCTTTAAAACACAATAACAGATTAATTTATACTGTCTCCCTACCATACAATTTGCGCTTATCCATTTCCTAAGCGTTATCTGCTTAGTATACTGGAAAACAAAAACTCTACTGAATTTGGGCCCACAAAGAATCAGGCATTTGCATTAATAAGTTGCAGGCAATATGTAATTTAGGAGACAGTAAGACATATGCTCTTCTGCCTAATCTGCAAGAGTATGAGCTGATTTATGGTCCGAGGCTCCCTCTTGCTTAGTAGTGGCTACTTAAAAACAGAGGTTCCTTTGGAGCCCTAAAGCGTTACTTATCTTAGCAAAGCCACTCTTTCTGTTTGCACACTCAGTGTGAGAGGTGGAACAGGAAACTAAAGCTCTGTCTTCAGTGTTCAGGTGTGGGACTTCAGACCATAAAAAGAGGGCAGAGTATAAGTGAATCAGACTGAATTCAGCACAGGTTTCACCTGTGTATCTTAAGCAGAGGTTCATGCCCTTGTGACTATACTAGGGATAGAATTGTGAATCATTCCTAATGCCAGTGCTAGTATCACTGCTAACTCTTCCAGTTGCTTCCTGCATCCTGATCCTTTCAGCGTTACCTGAATTAAAGCCATCCCAACCCAAACTCAGTACCAACACTCGCCTGACTAAACAATAAAACCCAACAGGAACAATAGTTGGATTAAAGGTATGTCTATGTAATAGTGAGAGACAAGATACTGTACCAACCCTGACTCTGCCTGCAATGACAGATGAAAATCTGCCAGGCAATTCTAAGCCAGTTTTGTGGATATAATTCTACTTAATGCATAAAAGATTTGGGGATTTAAGGATTTTGAAATGTTTGAAATGTTTTACTGCTCTGTTAGAAAATGAAGAAAAGGTAACAATATCCAAACTTTACCCTGCAAATGAGGATATGATTGAAACTTTATACTACCTTTACATTATCTAGAAGTTAGATATTAACCTAAACTATCATTCTTCTCTGGAAAATTATAGGACAAATACAGGTCTGATAGAAAACACATCAATGGAAAAATACAATATGGATAAATAAAGGTAAAGTGATCCTTAGATACCCCTTGCTAAAGTGCATACTCTTTGCAACATGTGATAAAACAGAAAGTTTGCACAGAACTGCTAGTTGTGTATTCTGTGCACAGTCTTTTTAAAAGAATGAAAATATAAAGCTTTGTTAAATCTCTGAGATTTTTTCAAGCAAAATTTGAAATTATTAGAACAGGCCTAGAGAATGTCTGGATCTACTATTGCTCATTTAGCTGCCATCACTTAGGAATTGAAATCAATATTAGAGTGTACCTGCACCAGAGCTGTGCACAATCCAAAGATTCCCACTGCTAGTAAGTTCTCCTGGAGCCATATTTTCACTGTTTCATAGCAAGGCTGGGGAAAAAAAAAAAGGAGGGCAGGGCAGGGAAGAGTATTTATTATCCATAAACACGAAGCTCTAATTCCCTAAGAATACAAAGACCAAAAAGAGCCACGTCATTAGGCTGCTAGGTAGCTTGAATCAACATTTCAATCTGGGCTAGTCCTGGGCTTTGCAATATTAATTGTAATGACACAGAAAAAGTGCCCCTCCTGGACCAGTATTTAAAAATAAGCAAGCAATGGATTTGGGTGTCTTTACCCTCTAAGAGCCAACTAGGAGCACTTCAGAATTTCAAAGTGAATCTTTTTTCCATGTTTCAGGAAAAAAAACCCAATTGTTATCACTATGTAACATAGCAGCCCAACATAGCAGTGAACATAGAGCTGTTCACTGGTAATGCTTTTTAAAGTATTTTTAAATAAAAAGATGTTAAGGCCCTCCCCAGAAGATCTGGTTTTAGCCTGGTTAACCTGCACTGATCATTTGAGTACCCAAGTTAAAATGAGAAACAAAAATTTTCAGTGCTTAAATTAAAAATCTGTTTTGTAGCTACTCTAGAGATACAAGGGAGCGAGGCTTGGTTGGAGCTCAGCCGCTGCAAATACCAATCCATGCATATGAAGCCTCATTAGAAAGTGGCCAAGAGAGCGTGCAGAGTGTCTTCCTGCACAAACCGCAAGAATCAGCAAAACACCATTAATTCCACTTCACTAGCTGGCCTTGCCCCTACTTCCCTCCTGGGTAATTACAGTACCTGTAATTAGCACAAAGAATTGCTGAGCTTATTTCAGACAGGAATAGAGACTCTATCTGCTCTGGAATGCTCCTGCTGAGACCATGGTGAGGAAATTACCCCATCAAGTTTTGAATTTGATTACAGGGATGTACAAAGACTCATTCCAAAAAAAAAATGCTGGGCTTGAATAGGGATTGCTCAGGGAGTTCAGTGGGACAAACACACCGTTGTACTGCGCAGCCAAAGTCCCCAGGCTGGGGCTTCCAGGGCACCCCAGCCTAATGCAGCCCCTAAGTCTAGTGATTGCCTGAGCTGTCACCCACACCTGCTGTTAATGGATAGTGATACAGGGTTCCTTTATCCCTATCTGGCACAGCAGGTAGCACATAAACAGGACAGCTCTGTCATTTCCTAGCTAGACTGTGCTACAGGTGAATGCTTCAAAGTACTTGTCTGCAATGTAAAACAACAGTTTAGAAATTAGGCCCAAAGTTGGAAATTAGGGCTCAGCATCAGCCTACTGAAACTGTCTGATTAGTGATGACACAGGTTATGACACAACACATCTGTATAGCCCTGTCACCTGCAGGTGATACCTACAGCTGACTAGCTGTGCTTTGCCTGTGTTGCAGGGTTGCAAGCAGACAGCTCAGCTACTGCTGGAGCTACTCACCGCTTTCCACCAGGTCCCTGGGGAGTGAAGCCCGCAGTTCTCACTGAACTCCAAGCAGCAGGAGTCTGGCACCCGGGTTGTGTTGTACACTTCAAACCAGTCAGTATAGTTGGAGACTCCGCAGCATCTGAACTGGAAAAAGAAGAACCAAGCAACACTGTAAGTATGGGCTGACACTAATTTCTGCTCATTCAGAGGAAGTGTCCTGGTGGACACAATTTGTTGCATTCTCATTACACCAGCTGGGATGTGAGATTTTTAAGGGAATCCACTATCTTAGCTTTATACAGCTAGACTCTTCTTCCCACTTGCTTTACCTCTTGTAGAATAGGTTTTTTTTATTATTTTTTTATTTATTTTTTAGTATGGTCTTGTACAATAGTTAATGTTGAGAGAATGAAGAAGCAGAGGCACCCATTTGTAGCAGCAGGATACTGTAGGGGCTGAAACACCAACCAGGAGTTGAGGTGATAAGAGTCAATCTAACTCTTAAGTTATTCAGTAAAGATTTATTCCCTCCGCTCTTAGAAAAAGGTCCTTAATGTTATCATCGATGCTCTTAAATAGTGGTGCTGTGTTATGTACCCAGTGAAACAATGTCCACTGCTGTGTTAGTGCTGAATTAGGTTTGTATTTAGGTAGCAGGATGAAAGGCATGGGAGATGCTCGCAGAGCCATTTCCCATACTGTTGCTTGCATCTTCCTTCTTGGGGAACTGGGTGTATTATCATACTAGGCCATTCCTGTGAGACAAAATATGTTAAGATTCAATAGCATGGAGTTATATACACCATCTGTTACTCCTCTGCTAACTCAGAAAGCATCGAACTTGGAGGTATTTTGAAGTGTTAGCACCACCGAATAAAACAAAACAGCCTACATGGAGTTACAAACATCAGGTTCTGTGTTGTGGCAGTACCTTGTACTTTTTGAGATCTGTGCCAGCAGTACCTCTTTAGCCTCAGAATGACGTGTCGAGGTCTTATTTTTTTTAGCCTGATGTTATATAGGCATGCACAGTATTTTTTCACATCCATACATAGAATGCTTGTCTTTTAAAGACTTGTAAAAACTCATAACCATGCAGAATTCATAATCATTGCCAGGACTAAGGGCTTACGTCAGATCCTGATGTTTACATACAGGCCTAAGGGAGAGTTTTCCCTAAATATAGTATTTTGGGGGGGTTATTTGCACGGAGAGCTGAGTGCTCAGGCCTTAAGAGTATTCACTGGAGAAGATCAGCCATGCCAGCTAAGGCCAATAGAGGGCAGAGGTGTCACACACTGCCCTGCATCTCCTCTCTGCTGCTGCAAGCACTCACAGCGTATAGGCAGATAGAGACATTTCAGTGCTCACAGCACAGTGTTTTTCTTCTGCCAAGCAGAAGTCAGAAGCCTTTCCTGGAGCAGCATATATATTCCCCTGAGGGCCTGCTCACAATCCTCTCGTTTGGTCTGTGGCAGAAATCAATCCACAGCTTGCAAACGTTTGATTTGGGAGTCTACAGGCAACATTTTCATCAAAATGACTTGCAAGGAAAAAAAGTTTGTGACTTTGTTACTTTTGTTTCCTTATGGTTCTGCATGCAGAACAGGGATTTTATGAGTAGTAGGTCCCAAAGCATATGGGAACTATAAGGAACATGCCAGCCATTTGAGGTGAGAGGGTTTATCTAGAAATTTTAACCAGAAGGTCTTGCAGGCTACTGTCACTACTTGATCAGAGTCAGAAGACATCTTTCTTGATAAGAGTAAGAACTGATGAACAGGTTGGAAATAGCAAGCCTTGGAAATGCTGTTCACCACCAACGTAGAGGGCAGCATATCAAGGGCTGAGACATCTGAGTGACATTCAGACCAGACATGAGTGGCACAAGTTTGTGCAGGTTGAGACTATCTCTCTCTCTCTCTCTCCTCCACACTATTGTATGGCTGAGCGTCAAGGATGTCTGACAGGCCACAGAGGATGAAGACAAAATCAGAGTTTGATTATTGAGAGATCACCAACAGTGTTGTGGACAGCTGCTGCAGTAGAGCCTGAGCAGCAGAAAGTAGCTGGGAATTGCTCTAGGACTGGGACTCCACAGACTGTAAGGAGAACGTTTCCAACAAGCCCAACAGTAGAACTAGGAGGGCATGTAGTTGCAAAGACAACCTGAAATGGGCTAAATTGGTCTGATCTTGGCCACGCATCTCCTGTCCACATGGTTTCTCACTGTACTGTACTAGTACAGAGGATTAAATGCTGATATTTGGGTGCTGCTGCTGGCTGGCAAGGCAGAGCTAGTGATGGGAGTTAGAGCTGAGAAGCTCAAGTGTGGAAAAGAATGAAACAGTGTGAGATTCTGGGACAGGAGGAAAGGGAACAGAAATGAGAACACAGGAGAAGAGATGAAGAAAAAGACAATGATAGTCAGCCTCCAGTGAAGACCAGGTCAAGCAGACAGCAGCTCTAGAGGCACTGACCCATAATAGAAACTCAAACATAGAGGCAGGAACCAGGGAATAGACAGCAGTGAGCTTGAATGGGTCCCCACTACAGCATCAGCAAAGGTGCCTAGTTGAGAGCCAAAAAGATAAGCTGAGAGTTAAGTAAATTCAGGGACTTTAGCATGGAAGCCCCAATAGAGAACAGTAAATATGGGGGCTGATTTGGGATCATCTGCTAAGCTCCTGTGTATGTGAAGCTGAACAACCAAAAATAGCCAGTTATTTCAGAGAGATGACAGGCTACTAGAAGAAGAAGGGAGGATATTAACGACAAAGGGGGAGCCAAGAGAACTTCCTTGAGAGATTTGAGAGGAACATTCTCCCTCTCTCTTTCTCTCTCTTTTTTTTTATTTTTTTATTTTTTTTATTTTTTTATTTTAAGTTACAGAGTTTCTGAGCAAGAACAGTTGGGAGAAAGTCCTGTACTTGGAGGATGGAAAAAGCACAGATCACATGGAAGAAAATATCCAAAATGAGCAGCTTGTTGGAGACAGTTACTACTTCTGACCTTCTGTTCTTCTACAAAGGCTGATGTTTTGCCATGGCCAGAAAGCAAAGCTGCCTGATCAGCATAAAGCAGTTGTGGAGATGATCCTTGGAAGGTAAGCTACAGCCACATGCACTGCCTGGGGCACATTTGCAGTCCTGTATTGCTCAGTTCACTACTTAGTAATTAAATTAGACAATTCTGTCCCTATTTTCAATGATCAATAAGATGTTTTCAGAAACAATTACAGAAACTCCCACTCACTAAACGGGGATAGTTTCAGAAGATGTCGGATACTGTGTTTTGAATAGCAATACCTTGAAGCCGCCTTAACTTGGACACCCCACAGCACCCGATCCTAGGGCTTGCAGCAGTAAAGGATGTGTGGTAGGAAGGCATGTCAGTGCTTATGCAATAGGGTAACAGTTGGACAGTAGTTCTGGGGGTACTGATCGAAGTTGGGGAAACATTGCTCAAACAAGCAAAAAAATGTTAAAGCAATATGTATCCAAGACACTCCACATTTCTAGGAATGCTTAAGATGCCCTCCTGTTTGCCTCACTTGTCTTGTGTGAGAGGCTCTGCCTCCTGAAATGCCAAAACATTTGCTCCTTTGCTAAGGAGGCATCAGTGGCTGCCACGTACCGATTGCCGAAGGGGCTGCTGGGGAGTTTGGGGGCTGCCAGGGCTGCTCAGCACCACGGTGCAGCCAGAGGTGCCAGGCTGAGGAGCACTTTCCAGCTAGGCCGCGTCGCATGGCGCGCAGGGCTCTGGGCTGCACTTACAAATGCAATGCTGCTCCCAGGGAGCTTTAGTTTCGTGTCAGTGAGGAATTGCAGCTCTGGCCTGGCGTAGCAACTGCTCAAAATTAATGCTAAATAAAATGTTTCTTTCTTACTGCAGTAGCAGCATGCAAAAGAAGATTTAAAACATTCTGTATTTTACTGGATATTCTAGTAGCCAGTTCTAAAGAACTAGTATTAAAGAATAAGTGGATCATAGTTTCTTCCCTAAATTCTTGGGGGGGAGGGGGAACAAACAAACAAACAAAAAAACTAGCAAGGCTGCAAAAGGGCTTATGAATAAAAATTAACCCGCTCCTCCCCACCCCCATAAACTTACTCCCTCTCTCAGGATATTAGCAGTTAGTTTTTTTTCTGTTATCAAAACTATGAGGGAGACTTAGGATCGTGGTGCTTTGTGTATGTCTTTTTCCTCTATCATTGTGAAAAGTAGTGAATAAGTTTTCATTTAAAAATTATTCATTTAATGGATGGTTTGGATTACTGTTGAAGTAATCCAAAAGTGTATTTTAATCTAACATCAAATCAATGACGGCATGGGGGGAAATTGCATCAAGTTGCTCTCAGTTACAGTGGCCTAAGCAGACATGAAAGGCATTAAAGAGCAGTGAAAGGGAGTCGAATCTGCTCACTTTAGAAAAGCTAATGCTTTTTCTACAGCCCTCTCGTATTACTGACCGATTAGTTAAAAGGATCCCAATGTTAGTGATGAAGCAACATTTTAAAAATTAATGCCCATTTCTCATTTCCTAGTGGTTTCCACTTGTGACTAACAGAGCCTGGTTGTTATGGACTGAAATGCTGCTCAGGTGCTACTTACAGCCTGAAGTATTGGAATTTTAGTCAGGTTTAAAATTACTTTGTATGCTTTTGAGGTGCCCGCTCAAAATGTGCGAAGGCACCTGCTTGCGTGTCTGGTCCTTTTAAGGTTTGAAGCTCCCTTCAGAAAGGCAATGAGTTTGGTAAATTGAAGATGTTAATAAAAATAAAATAGGATATTCCACTTTGAAACACCATCCTGACCTAGAGGCTTCCGCCAGAGAAGTTTAATGCTTTTCCTGTAACATGGTGTGTGTGTGCAGCTGAACCCAGCTCCATTACTGGGGGGGTCTGAAAATGAACGAAAGTAGTCATGAACTAAAAGTAAAACTTCATCCCTAAAGCCAGGGCTGACAGACCTGCTGATTCTGTGTTCCCAGGGATGAACTGTAGAGTGATGTTCCCCTTTCTCGAGGTACAAGGCTGAAAGAAGTAAGCTTCCCCAAGAGAGGGGGCAGTATCCACGCCGCCACTTTAAACTCCTCTGTAATTTGTGATTAAGCAGTCTCACATAAGTGAAATGCCACCTGCTAAATGTGCTTCTGTTTCTGAAAAAAATCTGCTTTTTTTTTGTTATTGTTTTTTTGCCTCCCCCATTCCCACCAGCCCTCTATAAAAATCAAAGCCCTTTTTCTGGTAGTTGCTGAACACCAGCCTATTTAGTAAACCCGGGATGGGGCTGGTCTTTGGCAAGAAGAACAGACACCTATGCCAGAGCTGAGCTCCCTGGTGTCGGCACCTCATGCTTTAATCAGTGCCATCCTTCTGCTCAAGCTGAGTGATGGTTGTGCAAAGAAAAGAAGGGCGAATGCAGAGGGGATAAGGGAGGAGGAGGACTCGTTAACATGGCTGCCGCTGTCATGTTTTGCTTTGTCTCCCCTCGTCCTGGCTGCTCTTTTCCATCCATGTGTAGACATGGCTCATTGCTCAACCAATGACTGATGTCTACTGGCACCATTAAAAATGAAAATATATATATATATATATCAGTACCAAGATATTTATATGCCAACATGATTAGCTCTAATGGAGGGTGTTTTTTGCCAGTAGTCTCCTAGGAGCCAGTCTGAAAACAGCTGGGCTGAGACCTTCCTTTCTGGAAGTCCCTTGTATGCTCCTAATCCCCCAATTAGTGATTACACTGTACTGTTTAGGGATGTAAGGGGTAATGATTATTACTGAAGACAAAAAAATAATACTTGGCATTTACACAGTGCTATTCATCTGCAAAGTGCTTTACATAATTAACCATGCTGGGATTGCTTTCACTGCACCACTGCAATAGGCTAGTGCTGAATAGTTTTGAGAGATACATGTGAAAACCAATTATGCAGAGCAGCAGAAATGGATCTGCGGGAGCTCTCTGCTGGTCCCCTCATGTGCCCAGTGCTGGGACCATGCAGACTTCAACACTGTAGCACTGTCAAGACCAGTGCCTGGTAATTTCACAGTAGTTATGCTAGAAAGAATGATTTGATGTGAGTGTATGTGACTTGTAGGGTAACTTTTCCCAGTTATCTTTTGCAGTTCTGAGAACTAGCTGAATTTAGTTTCACCTTAAGTTTTTTAAGGCACTCAAATTGTAACAGGTCTGAAGGTCAGGGTAACCACTGTTATAGTCTAGCATGATTTGTTGCACTACACAAGCCACAGAACATCCAGTCCTGCCTCAAGACCAAACTTGTGGCTGAGCAAGATAGTTTCCTTTAGACAAACGTTATCTTGACATGGGTGAGAGAATGTGCCATCCTTCTGCCTTTCACCATCCAATATGTGTATCTTAAATTTCTAGCTTTTGGATCACATTGCGCTTCCTTTCCAAAAATTACAGAGCTCTCTACTTTCAAAAACCTTTTTCCTCTTTGTCCTCTTTTTATGGGTTATAATCACATCACTAATTTTAAATTTCTCACTAAAAGTAAATTTCAGAATTCTAGTATTCTTGTACATTGTTTCTGAATCAGGTCTAATTTGGGAACTTCTTGGAAAAAAATATCGATAGATGAACTAGAAATGCCACCATAGACACCTGTTTTCCAGGAAGAAAAGCAAAAGCATGAGTTTTACGTCCCACAAGTCCACCAAATAATGCTTTCCCTTCTATCTTTGACATACCTTTTTAGTACTTCTTGAGATGTTACTGAAGCCTGATTAATATTTACTGCAAACATCTTAACAATAAAAAATTCTATTATATTTTGACTAAGCAAAGTTAATTGATTTTGGGGAAGTATAACTTACAATTTTTTAAAACAAGTAGTGATATTAAAAATTAATCTACATTTCACATGGTGCACTCTTTGGCTAGAACCTCTGAATACATTTCTCTTATAAGCAATTAATAATAGCTTCTCATGTTTCATCATAGTATTGAGAAGAGAAAATACTAAAAAAAAAAAAAAAAGACTGCTAAATACCGTGGCCTTTTAAAAGTAGGAGCAGGCACCATCCACGTACCCTTGTTCCAGCAATGGGATGGGAATGGAGAGCTGCTTAGCATGTTGGCAGGACCTGAGCCACCTAAGTCTCTCGCACACGGTGCTGTCACTGCCAACCTGCTGAGCTTGGTACAGACAGCTCGCACAGCTCCGGAGATGCACCAGGGGCTTGGCAAGTCTCGTCTAGCCTGGATTCTGCTAGTGATCCTGAATTTTTAATTTCCTAGCGCCTTCCTTAGCAGCCTGCCTATCTGTATTGCACAGCAGAGCAGCTGTGAATCTCAAACGCTCCCAAGCTGAAAGCTGCATAATTCAGACTTCTGCCCAAGTGACAGTAGAGGAAGGAAAAGGTAGATGAGCAAGTTTCTCATACCAAAATGTGGTAGGTGGCCCATTCCTCAGCCTGAACACCTCACAAAGACTTAGAAGCATTGGGGTAGGTATCTTCTTTGGCCAATTTAAGACAATGGAGACAAGAGCCCTGCAAGTCCGTATCATGCTGATGCCTCTAGAGGAGATTCTCCAAGAAAGCTACCCAAGTTTCTGAATGAGGCAAGGACAGTAATGGGACTTCTTCCTAAAGCTGAAGAAAATTTGAAGTGACACTGCACCTCATTCAAAAAGAAGAGGAAATCGAACTAGAAAGCCTACATCTAGGAGAAATGACTGATCTGATTAGAAAGGAGAAGGCTGAAAACAACAAAGCTGGACTGCGACGGATGGCGTTTCCTCAGTGAGCCGGCTGAGGACAAAGGAGGAAGGCAGCTGTCGAGCCCAGTGTAGCCTGTTCTTGAGGCAAATGCTAGCAGAGCATTATCAGAGACATTGTAGTGGTGACAAAACAAGCAAAAAGCAATCCCAGCCCATCTGTGATGGAGGACAACAGGCTTCTGCTGGGAAAAATGTGCTGACAGTAGGAGAAGGTTGCAAACCAACAGCAGCCATGAAAGGAGACAGAAGTGAAAAGGGTTTGAAGTGGCTCCCTGTTATTACACTATTGCTATTCATTCCAGGGTAATCTGTCGTGTTCCCTTTGACTTTAAAGGGAAGGTAGCTGCTTTTTTCCTCTCTGACCATGTCCTGCATTTTCCACAAGACACAGAATTAATTGATCTTCAGGAGTCAACATGATGTAAGTATTGAATAGAAATCATCCTGAGCAAAGGAGAAGCCAAACAACAAGAACAAAATTGCTCCTTGTCACAAGAAGCTGCTGCTTTACTTGCCAATGTGCTGACTGAGGAGGGGGATAAGGTTGATTTGGGATATGGGAATTTAATTAGATTTCCCCCAGAATATACTGTTACAGAAGCCAGTGGATAAAGAGAAGAAAGAAATTCAGACTTACATCTGTTTGTATGATGCTCCATGCATTAGTTAGGCCAATATTTCCATCTGTCCCGTATAAATGAAGCCCTTTCTTCAGGTCCCGCTGAGCGTACTTGTCAATCTGGAATCAATGACAGGAGAAACTGCATTGCAAATAACCACAAACCAACCGAAGTTTGCCGAGTGCCACATTTCAGAGTCAAAGTATAAGGAGTAGGGGCAATGGACAAAAATTCCTATGCAGGCATGAATAAAAAGTTAACTGCACATTCTCCATTGGAGTTGGTATCTGAGACAGGCATCTGCAGGCTGCTGAGAAGGAGGAGTTACCATTGTTAGTGTTCATGTTTTCCATTACAGACATCTAGAAAAACCCTTTGGCCATTTGGTAGCCATTTGACTAGCAAATACTGGATTCAGTTTAATCATTCATTTTTGCAAATGAGACCTAAAACTGAAAATATTAATTTAGCCATAACACTTCCTTTCAGTGTCATAGCTTTCTACTGTGAACAAGCTGAGCTTCTTTTAGGCCCTTTCTGTGGGGTCAACAGCAGTACTCACATCATAGCGATGTTCTGAGTCCTGCTCGTTATATTGGCCAGGGCTCCCAACTCCTGAGAGTGGGACAGATAGGACGAGTAGGACTGAAGCAGCAGGGAGAGACCTATGTAATATTCTGCACAGACAGGATGTAAGGACTTAACTGCTAAAGGAGGCTGCTCTTAAGTAAATGCATTTCCATTGGCTTTATAACACTCCAGAGTTCTGATTATAGAGGTATATGCAACCGAAGCTGGTGCTTTGTAGCCGAGAGTCTCTCCGCTGGTCATGCAGGCTGTTATGGAACCAGCTGGCCCTCAACAGGTCACACGCAATCTCCCAATCTAACTATACTTGCACATTTCTACAGATTCAAGCAAACAACAAAATGGAAGTAAATAATAAATGGATATTTACAGCTTAACTCAATTTTCCTGTTACAAATGAAGAGTGTTGAGTTGCTCTGCTCAGACATGCCCACACAGCCGCCTGCACCAGGGGTGCTCAGTGCTAGTGCTCTGATCTGCAGAGCACACGCGTCCCCGCTGCCTTGCAGCGCTTTGCGGTGCCTGACTGGCTTGAACAGCAGGTGCTGCATTCCCACCTGTAATTACCACGTAAGCTGCTTTTGCTTTTATACAGAGATTATACATGCTTAACTGGTAATTTGAGGAGAAAAAACAAAGCTGAGACCTACCATTAAATTTGGGATTAGGTAAGAAAATTGCTGGCAATAACTGATAAATGCATAGGCATGGGGGTGATTCCTAGCATTGGCTTCAGAATTACAGAGTGGGGTTTCAACTTTGCCTTGGCCTTGGTTCCTGTGACAACTGGGCCAGCTGGCTTCTAGAGCAAACCCCACCGATATGAGCAGAAAGGCAGGGTGGTGTGGCCAGGCTGAGAGAGAGCTGAGATTTAGTCAGTGTGATACAGAGACAGTGAGGCAAATTAATTGCTGAAGAGGTAATTCTTAGTCAGAAAAAGAGCAGTGAGGATGACCAGTGTAATTGATGGCCAAGTTGTGAGATCTATCTGACTAGTAGACCTTTTGCTTTGAAGATGAAACAGGTCTATTTGGAATATTAGTTTATCACACCTCAGAAAAGTCAGAGAAAGGGGAAAAATAATAAAAAACAGGCTACACAGCCTACACTTGGTACTCTCACTGATCAGGTACGGGGGGGAAGCCAAATGACACCCTGTGTTATTCTGCAAAGGGCAAAGGTTGCCTTGCTTTAGTCGAGTTTTGCTCTGCAAACTGTTTGATGCTGTGACTCAGCATCACAGCAGTCCCTTTCACCAGGACTCACCTGGCACTCAAGGTGAGATATGTTCCCTGGCCACCCTGTCACAAAGTCAGGTCCTCAACACCAGCTCCTGCACGTTGTCTGACCTGTTGTGTGTGTTGGCTTAAAAATTAAGCGCCTGTTTGAATCTCACTTAGGAGAGGCTTTACACTTTTTATAAAGCCGCATTGTGCATGTGTGTCTCTTCTTTCCTTAGCTCTGGTTGCAAGATGGAAAGAGGCAGACGTACGCAGGACATGAAACACAACCTTTGAGTTCTTTTTATTTCATGACCACCAGCTAATAGAGCTATCTGGAAATCTCACAGTTTTATACATGCACACATAAATGTGTATAAATGCATATATATATGTATATAAAACCTTATACACACATGTACATGCATTTATAGAATTTTTGAGTGATTGTAACTGTAGTGTTTTACAGAGTTTTCCTTTATTATTGCTTCTAACTGGTCTCCTGACTGAATGTGCTATAAATGCACTGAAAAGTGTTATTCTCTGAAGAGTCATTGATGTTAAATCTTTTTTGCCCAGAGCTACTCCTTATAGCATTTAGATGCTCTCCATTTGCTTACGCTAGTGTCAAAGGGGTTCAGCATTACTTCAGTTATTTAAGTTCTGGCTGCAGGATGAATCCTGCCTGCCTTCCTCTCTCCACAAGCCCTGTGTACATGGTGTGGATCCATAAATGATGTCTCAGTTTTGACCTACACAAGTTCTTACAGAGCTTGATATACCTACAAGATGCAGAAAAAAAACCCACCAAGCCAAATTTAAAGAAGACAATGATGAACTTGGTATGGTGAGAAAACAGATAAACTAATCACTCACCCTGGCCCCAGAATCCCAGAAGTTTGTGTGTGCAGGAGGGCTGCGACTGTGGCTTTCAGCACCAGGAGGAAGGAGAAGCAGGCACCAGGCTTTGCTCTCCTGCCACTTGCATCTGAGATAACACTATAAAATCCTACACTAGCTGTATCTGTGCCTCCTCGATTTCTAGCCAGCTACGTAGGGTCTTTTCAATTAACTCATTGCCTTCATTAATTAATCAGGCTCGAGGTAAAAGAAGCCCTTCACTTCCCTGAGCATGCAGGAGATGTTAAACGCTGCTTCTCTCTGTGGGCTCTGTGGAGGGCAGTGTCTCCATGCAGCCCAAGCACATGAGCCTCTGCTTGAGCGACCTGCCTGCAAGGTCGCACGGGATCTTTGCTCCCCAGCTGAAGCGCTGCTGGCAGCTCTCCACACGTGAATCCTCCTGGCTTTGAGGAGCAGGTAAAACACAACCTCTGTGCATGGAGCAGGCCTGGCAAATGCTCCTCTGGGCCATTCTGTTCCTGCTAATCTAGATTTGGTTTCTTCCTCAAAATATTTCATAGTAGCATGGATTTTTTAAATGCATCTTTATTCTAATTGAATTTTATCTTTGATTTAAATGAAAACACCCCCAACTGTCTCATTCTCTACCTTCCCTTTCATTTTTCAGAAATCATCTTTCTGAAAATGAGAAGCTGTAACACAGTGATTCATCAAGGCTGTTAAAAAATGCTCCCACCCGGCATCCACCAATCTGTCAGCTTGTTTGTCCCTACGCTCCCAGGCCCCAGCCAGGCAAAATGTCTATCACAAACCAGGGGCTGCAAGTACTATATTAAATATTCTGCCCATGAATCTACTCTGTTCCCCCATACACAAGCCATTTTTTTTCATAAAGCACAACTATCTCATGAGGGACCACAACGAAGCATAATAAAAACTCCCAGTAGGCAAACCATTACTCGAAATGAGACGCTTATTTTTAGTTATGTGCAATGCCAGAGATTTCCTTGAAAGAAAGATTTTCTGGAAGGTTGATCAGTAAGAATTTTCTATCAGTCTGGACCCAAAAAAGGGGAAAAAAAAATCCCTTTCTCCTTGGTTTACATCAGATAACAGATCAGAGAAATAAATTTATTCCTGGCACCAGGTCTGTGTGAATTCTGGTGCCTTATGGCTTCAGCTAGATAGGAGCCATATTCATGTTTATAGACCTAATCAGATTTTAGTGATGCTTCTGCTAGCATAAGGTGAAGCTGTCCTGTTGCTTAGTGTGGAAAGTCATTGCCAAGAGAACATTACTACCACTTTATCTAA